CTCATTATAGATGTATTAGTATTACCAGAATGAAGTTTCTGCTGCCTATTTAGGCTTGGTATTCCTTATTCGTGGAAATGAGCTATCCTGCCAATTGTAAGTTTAAGAAATTTTCATTCAACGTTAGGACTCGATATCGATTGATAAATTTTTATCCAGTAATAACTTTAAACCTTCACTGGAGTCAGTGACATTTTCCGAGACGATTTATACCTCTTTTTTAAAAGTCTTTGGACAAAATGCGTTTTGAGAGGTAGGTTATGGATAATTAATGTCGAAAATATACTCAGAGGAGTGGACATTCCCTGCCGAGGGGCGACCGCACTTAAAAAATTTAGCTTCATTTTTCATTTAAATAAATTTTCCAAAACTTTTTGGGTGTTAGTACGAACACGAGCCTTCCGAATGGCAGTACTACTCGGCTATCGCGGCCACCCTAAGTGGTAGATACATTTAGAGAAAAAGGAGAGAAGTACAGAGTGAGGGAGGGAAGGAGAGCAAAAGAGGTAGATAGAAGGAAATACATAAGAGAATCAGGGGTGTAGGAGAAAAGATTGACGATGAGAGATTTAGAGAGCAAAAGAGGGTGAGAGATACAGAACTAAGTTCTCGATAATAGTTCATAGGGAAGTTGTGGAGAAATTTGAACTTTCATCACGAAACGAATTTCGAAACGGAGGGATCAACGGTTTGATGGTATGAAGGCAGACGATCGACTGCAAACACGGCTCTCCGATGGACTCCAGTTTAGACACTACCTAGAAGAGAGTTCCTCAGTAGTGAAGAGAGATGGAGAGAAAGACAACGCTGGAACTGTGTTTTGACTTTGAGTCACTTATGGTTGATATTTTTGTTGCTGTTTTTGTAGTCGCAAGAATAATCCACAAAGTAGTTTTTTGGAATGTTGCGGAAGTGGTCGGGATGGTTCCGGTATAAAAACCCGACCATTGTGGGAACTTTTGGATTTTAGTCGCCATTTGCGACAGCCATGCCTTACCGGGGGAAATTCTTGAACCCCTACCCCGCAGGATCAGAGTCATTTACGGTGGACTGGACATCTTGATAGAAATTAGGACCCTTTGCATCATGATCTTCCGGGACCAAATGGGTAATTAGAAAGAGCCCAAAGACAGCAATATTTTGGAATCAAGGTGCATTGACTACCGCCCCAAATACTTGCGACTTAGACAAAATAAATATATATTAATTTATATGTAAGGATGTCAACAAAGCAAAGAGAATAAAAAATTAAAAAAAAACCAACAACAACATATTATGACAAAATGGGCGTCTTACTACACTCAAAGTATGTAAATACTTGTTTTTGTACTAGAAAATTCGTCTCAGATGGCACCATTCACCAGCAGCAACAAGAACAACAAAAGAATCAGCAACAACAACAGTGAAAGTTCGTCTCGTCTCTGTTGTTAACTACATTTGCTTTTGTTGGAGTGTCGTTTTACTGTTATGTCGGATCCTCCATACCACCGCTATTCCAACAGCCTGCTCTTCTTCTTTCATATTGTAATATGTAAGTATGTGAGCTTTGTGTATTTTTGGGGGCTCCTTGCGCTTGTTTGCGTTCGTTGCCATTAACTTTGCTGTCGCTTGTGTTGTTGTTGTTATTGTTGTTGTTGTTGCCTTTTAGTATGCTTGAATCGTTGCTTTTGTTTGCTTGCACTCCACTTATACACTCAAACTCACACACGCACACATACTCGCCCAAGTGCATACACGACGTGCATAAGTAGTTTTGTCCATACTCTCTGGCAAGTCGTTAGCCTGACGTCGAAGGTCAAAAACAGCTGATTACATAATTAAGAAAGCACGAAAAAATACAAGAGTCGTTGTGTGTAGTTGTGTGTATCCGTTTGTGTTGAAAATAATAAACGACTTAAGTTCTAGTACAAGAAAAGGGACGAAACCCCGAATGGTATTTAAGTAATGGAGTTTGTGGTGAGTGATGAAGTGATAAATACACTGATAATTTAAAAAGAAAAAACAAACGCAAATAAAATAAAATAAAACGAAAACGAGATATATAATATAGTAATATCAACTAGACTAACATAAAATAAATTAAAATAAAATAAAATAAAAAAAAAATTAAATAAAATAAAACAAAATAAAAGAAAAAAATAAAGAATTAAAAGAACATAAAAAGAAAACAAAAAAAAATTAAGGTAACGTAAAATAAAATATCATAAAATAAAATTTTTTAAATAAAATGATATACAATAAAATAAAAGTAAATTAAATAAAACAAAAAATAATAAATCAAATGAAATAAGAAAAAAATAAAATTAAAATAAAATAAAAATACATAAAATAATATGTAAAATTCAAACTAATATAGCATAACGAAAAACGAAAATAAAATAATATAAATTAAAATAATACAAAGTTAAATTAAATAAATTAAATAAAATAAAATAAAATAAAATAAAATCAAATCAAATCAAATCAAATCAAATAAAATAAAATAAAATAAAATAAAATAAAATAAAATAAAGCAAAAGAAATAAAAATAGAAAAATAACAATAAATAATGTGAAACAAAAATTTCGGTTAACTAAGTTCAAATACATTTTTTTCATTGAAGTGTAAAATATATTTTTAATATTTCTTTTTTGAATTTAAAATAAAACAAAAATATAATCACATATAGTTACTCGAATTCCTTTTTTTTATACAAAATTCACAAAATATGCAAAATATTTAAAACCCGTAGCTAAAATTACACACAAGAGACAGTTTAAAATAAATTTTGAGTGTTCATTTGAAAACGAACAAAAGTGGCAAAAGCCACAACAACAATAATAACAAAGGAAACAGTTAAAAATTTACGCCCAAAGGACTAATTTTGTGTTTAGACGACAAATTTTTGTTTGTAAAGTGTGAGTAACGAGCTTTGAGTTGAGCTGACTAAGCGATTTTATAAACATGCGAGTACATATATGTGTACAAATGTACCCTTCAAGCTGACGTGTGCATGTGTATGTGTGCGCCTATGATGAGTAAATGTCTGTGTTGCGCTTTTTGTATTTGTGCATTGGTCATGACCCGCAAACGGACGTTCAAGTGTCAGCGTGTCGGTCTATGTGTGTTTGTATGTGTGTGTCATATTAGAGCTTGTGCATATGGGCAAATTTTAGGCGCATGAAAAAACCTATACAAACAGCAATAGAGTAGTTGCCATGAGTAAAAAAAATGAAAAAAAAATTGTTTATGAGGAGGAATAAAATACCTGATGTAAAATAATTAAAGTTTTTATGCAAATATTTAGAAGAAATATAAAAAAGGAAAAGAAATTAAGCAAACTTAATTTCCGGGTTTCATAGTAAATATCACGCTTAGCTGTTCCTACGAATTTGACTTATCATGTGAATTTTGTTTCTATGCCTCCATATTTTTCCTACCGGGGCGGTTAGCGCCTTAAATAGTTGACCACATGTTTTTGTGCGATTATTTGTTGAACCGCCTTCACTTTACGCCGCATTATTTCATTAAAACTTTAGCCATATTTTGTTACTCACACCATGACATTTTGAAGTTACCGTTTTTTAATAGCCTGTCATTTTATAGTTGTAGTTTGGGGTTGAATTGTTTTGAATTTTGAATTTAGTATGCAAACTAATAAATATGTTTTGAATATTAAATTCGAGCTCATTGTAAACGTCATAAATTTTTCTAAACAATTTTAATTAAGATTAAGTCCAAAAGTTTTACAATAAACGAAAATGCATGTGACATAAATTTTAAAGTAAAAAAAAGGCCAATAATTCAATCAAAAAATTGGAGTTAAGTAAAATAAAATAAAGTAAAATATAATAAAACATAATAAAATGAAATAAAATGAAGTAAAGTAAAGTAAAACAAAATAGAATATATTAAAATAATACGAAAAAATAAAATAATATAAAATAAAATAAATTAAAATAAAGAAGAAAAAAATTAAATGAAAAGAAATAAAATGAAGTGAGATAAAATAAAGTAAAATAAAATAAAATAAAAAAAACATAAAATTGAATAAAAAATTAAGTAAAATAAAATAAAATAAAATAAAATAAAATAAAATAAAATAAAATAAAGTAAAATAAAATAAAATGAATTAAAATAATATGAAATAAATTAATGTAAAATAAAATAATACAAAATAAAATAAAGGTAAAATGAAACAAAGTATAACAAAATAGAATAAAGCAAAATAAATCAAGATATAATAAAGCAAAACAGAACGGTTTATTCTACACTAAAATAAAATGAAAAAATTAAATAATATCAAATAAAAATAATAAATATGTAGAATAAAAAAATAGGCAAAATAAAATAAAAAAAATTAATATATAAAAATAAAATAAAGAAAAATAAAAGAAATAAAATATATAAAAAATAAACAAAAAAAATAAAATGAAAGAAATAAAATAAAATAAATAAAAAACAATACAATTAAATAAAATAAAACAAATACATAAATTACAATAAAATAAAATAAAACAAAGTAAAATAAAATAAAGTGAAATAAAATGAAATTAAATTAAAAAAATATATAAAAAAAATATAAAAATTTAATTAATTTAAAAAAATTAAAAATAAATAAAACATAGTAAAATAATTTAAAATAAAATAAAATGAAATAAATAAAATGATATAAAATAAAATAAAATTAATTAAAATAAAATAAAACATAAAAAAATCAATGAAATAAAAAAAGTAAACCAAATAAAATGAAATATAGCAAAATGAATAAAAATAAATTGACAGAAAATAAAATAAAAAATTAAAATAAAATAAAACTAATGTGGAAAATAAAATTTAAAAAATTAGAATAAAATAAACTTATATAAAATTGAATTAAATTTGATCGAAATTAAATATTACTGTAGCCTACCCTCAGCCATTTTTTCAGTTTGTTTAGCTTATTTTAGCCATTTTTTGATGTTGTAAGTAAAAAAATATGTAATAAATGTAGAAGAAGTTAATAAAAAATTAACACTTACTCGATATTTTTGTCTCTCAGTTATTGCCTTTAGCGGCCTATAATTCTGCTAACTTTAAAGTTGTTGAAATGATATACTTATTTATTTGTTTTAGGTTATTCTTGCCGTTGTTATTATACTTGCTATATTATAGTTTTTATAGTCTTCGCTTTTGTAGTATATGAATAATATTGATTTATGATATATTAAACTAATTTTTAATTAATTAATTTCACACAAATTCAAATTCTTTTCTTTTGTTTATTCGTTGCAGCGGAAATTCAATCTCCTACACAGCAGTCTTTCTTACACTCTGTTCTCTGCAATTAAATTATAATTACTTTATTAGCAATTTGCATGGTTTGTTGTTGTGCAATCAATATGCCAGCGTTGGATCACTTGCTGTGAGCTTCCTTTTTCCGTATGTCTACTTTGAAATGACCGTCTGCTTGTGTGTGTACGCACTATTCTGTGCGTTGACTTCCAACACTGTATCTTGACTCTCTGTACTTTACATTTATATTAATTAATATTTATGTAATCGCGTGATTTCGTTGTTACTGCTGTGTTTTGGACGTTTTTGTTATTTGCATTGACGCAGCTGCTGGTTTTTTAAACACCTGCTGTTTTTATTATTGTTGTTGTAGTTACGCCTTTCATACGTTCAAATGGCATTTACGAGCGTGCCGCATATTTTATATAATTTTTCGAACGTTTAAAAGTGAAAATTTTCAATATCTAATTATCAGCAATAATATTCACAAAATTATCTGCTTTTTTTTAAGAAAAAATGTTGAATCATTAATATTTAATACTTGCACAATTGTCGTTTGTATTTTTTTTCCTTTTTTCGCACAAAATTTGCAAAAGCTGCTTGCCTGCCTGCTTTCCTCTATGGCTACACTAATATGACAGCGCCTAAGTGTATGCTTCAATATTGCTATTATTACTACAGCTGCTGCTGCTGCTGCTATGACTTCGCTATTGGCTGGGTGCTGCTTTTTTTGCACTTCCTTTTGTCTATTCTGATTGCTACTGATTATTGTCTTCACTTTGTTTTCATGCTACTTTTTGGCATTCGCCTGCTGGCGGGTGTCAAATATCACGCTGGAGTGTCAGTCAAAATAGACAACAACAAAATGACAGCGTTTCGATTTTCCTTAAAATTTAGTTACTTTCCTGGGTTGGTACTCTCCAGCAAAGCTTCTGTTAAATAATTATTTGTTTAAATTTTTTTCGCTCGCTTTCCACAGCACGAGTTATCCACACGTTTGCTATTGTCCTTACGCAAATAATTTCACTATCTTCTGTTGCCACAATGGGGTATTAAATGAATGAATGCACTTGCTCTCGCTGTTTATTCACATCTGACTCATTTGACATTTGATTTTCGCTTGATTGCATTAGAAGTTAGAAGTCAGGAGCGGTCGCGCTGTGGATGGTGGAATGTAAATGTTATGGATTGTGGACTGTATGTAGCATTATCCTGCCTTGAAAAAAGGTATATCGGTAGATTTCTTGTAGCAAAAGCATATTCCCGAAGCTAGTAGCCGCCAGATGGTGGTGTATACACTTAGTTTGAGCTGGAAAGGATATATAAAATACTTTTCCTTGTGTGTCACTCTCTTCGTACATCCTTAGAAGGAAGCGGACACTCTTAAATGGGCTAGTACATCCGTTGTAAGAATCCTTGCTTAGGAAATATTTCAAAAATTTGTACAGGAAAATAAAAGACAGAGGGTGCACGTGAATGATAAGCACAGCATGTACATAAAATATTTGGCAACCCTTAGAGTATTCCTTTAAAGAAAAATATATTTTTAAAATTTTATTTTTATTTTATCCAAAACAGCTACATTTAAAACTTACTTATTTTATCCTCTACCTTCCATAGTCTACAATATATATTCTATATTCTATATTCTATATTCTATATTCTATATTCTATATTCTATATTCTATATTCTATATACTATATTCTATATTCTATATTCTATATTCTATATTCTATATTCTTTATTCTATATTCTATATTCTATATTCTATATTTAATATTGCTGATTCGATTTCCTTAATTTATTGTGCTTTATTCTATTTTCACTACCATTTCAACAATTTTTTATTTACTTAAATTTTTTATTTTAATTTCCATTAATTTGCATTATTTTTTACTTTTATTCCATTTTATAATATTTTATTTTATTTTGTATTTAATTCTTATTTGTATTATTATTTGCATTTATTTTATTTTATATTATTTTTTATTTTTTTTTTTATTTTGTTTTATTTAATTTAATCGCTATTCATTTAATACTTTTTATTTTATTATTTTTTGGCTTTATTAATTTTTTTATATTTTATTTTTATTTTTATTACTTCATATTTATATATTTTATTTTAATTAATTTTATTTTATTTTTCGCATTTCATTTTATTTAAATTTTTTCTTTAATTTATTTATATTTGTATTAATTTATTTTATTTTATTATATTTTTTGTTTATTTCATTTCTGATTTTTATTTACGTAATTAATATATTATATTTTAGGGTTACGGAACCTTTTATGGAAATCGAGAAAAAATGATTCGATCCGAAACTTGCAGCTAATAACAACAACAGCGTAACCCCTATAAGCTATCATTGTCAGCTTTTCAGCTTCAGCCATTTAGTCCTACTTTGAAGTGAGCCGCTTAAAATATTCACCGAAATCCAAAGGGGACGCTTGTCATAATCCTGCAATATAAATTCTAAAAAAAACATTAATAAAAAATATTTCAACATAAAAAAGAAAATAAAAACACAAAAAGACGAAATTTCATATGCCATTGAAGGCGTGCGCTCAGCTTCCGCAAAGGCTGTTTCCTTTTACCGCCTGATGCTGCTGCTGGTGCCATTGATCCTTGCTGCGTTGATTTCATGTTTTGTTCTAGAGGTAAATTATGTAGCTTATACATATGTATACGATTGAGTGCAGTTTCATTTATTGAAGTATATAAATTTGTATTTGGCTAATTATATAGTCCACATTGGTCCAGCCACTTACATATGCGCACATCGGCTGTTGTCGGTAGATTTCGTGCTGCTAAAGGATATCGAATTTCAACGCGGGCAATTGACTGTGCCTTTGCTGGCATTCAATTGAAATCTATACTCGCTTGTTTGCTCCCTCGCTTGATATGGTGGTCACAATTGAGATTGCTTCGCGGTACTCATGCTCACTTTTTTTCATAACTGTATGTGATACATTTCACTTTTACTTTTAACTGCTGCTTATGATCTTAAGCGATATAAATGGCGTTTAGTATTTCTGGTAGAGTTATTAGTTATTGCTATGGAGTAAGGAACTACATGAATTAAGTGGTACTAAATATTGACAACATAGTGAAAAAGCTCTTTGGTATCCATTCCAACTGAGCTTTCAGTGCTAAAGTTTTTTTTATTACCTCCAGTAAAGATTTTATCTAGTTATTTGCAGCAGGAAAATATAAAATATAAAATTAGAGCTTTCACGTCAAATGAAGCTTTCACGGTGCTTTATTAATTTTTTTTATTTTCGGAACTTCGTTGATTTTATAAGAAAGCAGCTAAGCATTAAGCAATGAAAAAATATGTTTCCAATATTAAAACATTTTCTTTTGCCCCATCTGTGCTTTTAGTACTAAGCTTTTGTCCAACATATACTTAGAAGTCTCTTTGAAAATCGTTTTATATTTTTGAAAAATTTCCTATTGTGTCGAATTATTTTCTTCCTCTCATGGATTTTTTGTAGTAGCTTATATTATTTTGTTTTCAATTTCAAACTTTATTTGTTCGCCTTAATAAAAGCGAAAGCTGTGAAGGATTTTAAAATTTATTTATTTATGTATAAAGGTTTGGAAGTGAGTTTTCTTTGAATTTTTAATAATAAATTTTTAAAAATAAATTTTTAATAATATATTTTTTTAAGAAAACTTCACTTTTCCTTTGCCTTGTGGGTGAGCTTTTCAAAGAACTTTTTTTTTAATTTTTCATTCAAAATGTTATAATCAATTCAATTTAATGTAATTCTAATGCAGAGCTTATTTACAGAAGGTTCTAAATTCTTGTAAAGAGCTTTTAGGAGAGCTTTCACAGCTTTTTCCTATTTATCCATTACAAAAATTAAATAAATTAAGTATACCACATGAAAGGTGTTGTCGTCAAAATTCCAGTATCTCCTACCGCAATCGTGTCTCTCTCTCTCTTTCTCAATCTCATTAATTTTGGAAAAAAGTCCACCTTGTGAAATGAATAAAATTGCATTAATCACTAGGATAAGTATGACAATTCTCCGTACATGTATGTAAATATGCATATTTCTACATCCACTTACTTACATTATCCTGTTATGCTAACTGCCCGGTGACCATTTGCCATTTCTAATTTATTTATGTACCTTCTACTGAACTCGACACATGTGCAAAATTTCATTTAAATTAGAAGACAACAGTGAAAGATGATACAAAGAGTTATAGGTGTGGATTTGGAATAAAAAAGCTTCCAATTAATAGTGATTTGAAGGTAATTTATATTCCAATAAAATATTTTCATTCAAATTAACGAATTAAGATATTTGCAAAGATCTTGTAAAATCTTTTACGAAGGAAGCCCAGAGCTTTTAACAAGCTTTAATAGCTTTATTTCTAAGTTTTCTGTAAACAAAAGGCGAGAATATAATAACTCCAGTTCAGATATATTTAAAATGGAAAAATTGTGCAAAAAAGTTAAAAGCTTCAAGCTTTGAAAGCTTTGAGCGATAAGATAAGACTTTTAAATTAAGCTTTTGTAAAGCAGCGACATTTTTGTTGACTAGATATAAATTTAAATAAGGATTTGTAATCGAATTCAATGTACTTGGAAAATAAAACTTAGTCATTTTACGTGAGAGAAAGCTTTCATGAAAATATTTAAGAAAATAAAGCTTAAGTTGTATACGTAAATAATCGGAAATTTATTTTTTAGTATATTATTACGTTACGTTATCGACCAACAGAAGGAAGAAAGGCCCTGATAGAGGTAGTAAGCGAGTTTTTAATTTAAAAAAAATGTTATAAAAGTTTGCTCTTGTTTTCTAGGAGCTTTTAAATAACTCAAATGCGTTCAATAAACTTTTGCGCCTCTTAAAAGCTCCATCAATGAACTTTTGAAAAAGCTCTTATCTATTAATTTGCTACCTTTCCGCTTTACTATTCACTTAATTCTTGCTTCCACATCTTATTTAACATGCCTTTTACTCATTACGTTCTTCAAAATCTTTCCTCCACGAAAATGCAGAGTTTCGCGTCATCTTTCATCCACTTTCTCGTAAAAAAAATCATAATTTCCAGTTTCATTTCATTTCTTAGTAATTTGAGTCAATACACAACCCCACAACGCCATCTTTTCCGACTACACCCCAAAAGCTCAACTCCAGCTACCATCTCTTGGCTAAGTGTTTTTCAAGCAGCGTGTAGAAAAGTCAACATGGAAAGCGATGAGATTTCACATTTTAATTACTGCAAAAATACTTGAGCAACTACGCGATTCAGTCACACGTACAGACATACAAACATACAAATACAAGGATATGACGGTAAATGACTCACTGCATGCCTGAGTGCCAGTGACGTTGGTTACCAAGTCTCCGAACGCGTGGGATGGAGGGCTAGCGAGATGGCGACGGCAGCCCAGCGCGTTGGCTTAACGTCAAGTGGTATGTGGCTGGCGCAAATTAATCTGCCTGTTGCCTGTTAAAATACAAATGCAAATACAAACAAAGCTAAAGCGTGTGTTGAGGGACGCAGAGTGGTCCAAAACTTCCGCTAACCCCATTCTAATACTGCTGGGCGAAGAAAATTGAATGGCGCGCACTTGCAATCGGCGCTTGGGTACGGGTAGTCTGGCACTTGACAGCAAAACAGGTGGGTGGCCGCCATTTGCAAACGTCAGTCGATTCAGAAAAATGTGAATCAACACACATAAAGATCCACTCGAGCCTTTGACATTGATTTGAGTTGGGTGGTTGCCTGCGAATTTGGCGTTGAGTGGGCGCTACGGGTGGGGTTTGGCAAATGAACGTGTATAAGTGTGCTTACAGATCGGCGAGAGTAGGTTTGTTGTGCTGTTGTGTTGTTGTGTTGTTGGCTCAGTTTGACTGTGGTTGATTCGAAGATGACGACGACGCAATGCGGCTGGATAAGCTGCATTTGAAGTCTCAATTACGCGACCAAATCAAAATCAAAATGGAAAATGAAAAAAAGTACTGTGACATATGCGGGTGGTTGGGCGGTGTTTGTGCGGGGGGAGATGCCATAAAATGGCGGATGCGACACAG